GCCAAACATTGGAAACCATCTCTACGATAAATACAAATTAGCACCAGGCCGGCGCGCAGTGGCTGCAAGCTGTAACTCCAGCACTTGGGAGTGCCAGTACAGGCGGGATCATGAGTCTGGAGATCCGAGACCATCCTGCTAACACAGGAACCCGTCTTACTAAAAAAATACAAAATACGTACTGGGCGAAGTGGGTGGGCGCCTGTAGTCCCCAGCTACTTGAGGAGCTGAGGGCAGGAGATGCCTACAACTCGGGAGGCCGGAAGCTTGCAGTGAGCTGAGAATCCAGCCCACTGCACTCCAGCCTGGGGACAGAGCGCGAGACTCTGCTCAAAAAAAAAACAAACACAAATTAGCCACCAGTGAGGTGGTGCCTGTAGTCCCAGCTACTTGAGGGGCTGAAGCAGGAGGATCACTTGAGCCCAGGAGGTCGAGGCTGCAGTGGGCTGAGATCTTGCCACTGTATCCCAGCCTGGGTGACAAGGTAAGACCCTGTTTCAAAATAAATATGTAAGACAAAGTAAGACTCTGTCTCAAACAAACGAAGTAAATGGATAAACAAAATATGGCTGATCCTTCTGTTCTGCAGTGAGCAGCTCTGTGCAAACCTACCCATGAAGGCTGGGGAAGTTGGGAAGCTGGAGAAAGCGGCTGAACAATCCAGTTTCTCAGACAGAAATGTTTAAGGGCTTACAGACAGAAGCCATGTCTTGGGCAGCCTAGAGAGATGATGCATCCCTGCAATGCTACCCCCAGGTGGGGCTTCTATACCACAGGGAAGGATTACTGAAGTCAACCCCTCAGGGAAAAGCAAGAATGCTCTGTGAATCTAACCGCTGGATTTAAGGTGGAAAATTTGTTTTTTTTGTTTTGAGATGGGGTCTGTCACCCAGGCTGGAATGTAGTGGTGTTATCACAGCTCACTGCAACCTCTGCCTTTCAGGCTCAAGCAGTCCCACCTCAGCCTCATGAGTAGCTGGGACCACAGGCACGCATCACCATGCCTAATTTTTTTTTTTTTTGTGGAGATAGGGTTTCACCAGGCTGGTCTCGAGCTCCTGAGCTCAGATGATCTGCCTGCCTTGGCCTGTCAGTGCTGAGATGACAGGCATGAGCCACTGCGCCCGGCCTCAAGGTTGTTTTGACCTAAGAGTGGGATTTAAGGTAACAGCAGATAAATGGGAAATCTCAGGAGGCATTCTTGGAGTAGGGTTAACGGGAAATCACCCACGATAGAGGTGCGTCAGCTTCCACACCTTCTGTGAGCATCAGTCGGCCATAAGAAGGAAGGGTGTGCTGATACAGCCCCCACACCTTCTGTGAGCGTCAGTCGGCCATAAGAAGGAAGGGTGTGCTGATATGTGCTACAACACGGATGAGCCTCAGAAACATTCTGCTCAGCCAAGGAAGCCAGACACGAAGGGCCACATACTATGTGATTCTGTTTATATTAAATATGCAAAAAAGGCAAATCCATGAACAGAAAATGGATTCGTGGTTGCCACAGGCAGGGGACATGGAGGGAAGGTGCATACACACTTGCCATCTGTACTGAATGCTGAAGCTGTAACACAATAGTTAGGAGCTGCAGGCAAGAGCCGCTGGGAACAAAGCCTGGACAGCCCCAGGTCCACTCCGTCCATCCTTCTGGCCCAGACGCAACACCTCAGGAACTGCTCTGTCCTGAGAATCCCTCTCAGATGCAGAGAGGCCCAGTATCTGCTAGGCCATTTGTGCCGTGCTTCACACTTGCTCACCTTGAATACCAGGTGACAGAACAGAAAAACAACGTTGTTGCCATTTTTTTTTTTTTTGAGACGGGTCTTGCTCTGTCGCCCAGTCGGCTCACTGCAACCTCTGCCTCCTGGGTTCAAGCAATCCTGCTGCCTCAGCCTCCCAAGTAGCTGTGCCTACAGGCGCACGGCACCACGCCCAGCTAATTTTTGTATTTTTAGTAGAGATGGGGTTTTACCATGTTGGGCAGGCTGGGTCTCGAACTCCTAACCTCAGGGGATCCACCCACCTCAGCCTCCCAAAGTGCTGGGATTACAGGTGTGAGCCACCACGCCCGGCCCAAAGTTGTTGCACTTAACAAGTCTATACACATAAAGAAACAACCGATTAAGGACGCTTGCCTTTATTTTGTACTGACTTAGATTTGCCATGTGATATGCTCGAGTGTACTTTGCATAACACAATTGGAGTGAGAGAAAAATGTATTCTTAGAGCTGCCATGATTTCAAGTAAGGCTTCATTGGTGTGTGACGGTTAACACTGAGTGTCGGCTGGACTGGGTTGAAGGATGCAAAATGTTGATCCTGGGTGTGTATCTGTGAGGGTGTTACCAAAGGAGATTCACATTTGGGTCTGGGCTGGGAAAGGCAGACCCACCCTTAATCTGGGTGGGCACCATCTAATCGGCGGCCAGCAAAGCCAAAAACTCCCCTTTGTATATATCCTATTAGTTCTGTTCCTCTAGGGAACCCTAATACAGTGTGTGCTGCTAACCTTTGGTGGAAATCCATCAGAGCGTTGACAAGAATGGTACACGCAGCCTCCAGGTCTCCGTCACAGCCTCCTGAAGCAGAGGACTTAGGGAGAAAGTGCTCATAGATCGCCCACTGGTGGAAGTCCTGCCTGGAACAGCAAACACTGACGTCAATTCTGAGAAATGCTTCGCGACCAGCAGTTCCCCATAACCAGGGAGTAGGCCCACAGTAAGGAACACACAGCACTAGTGAGAGCTGGGTTGAGACTGGCGGCTCGGGACCTCGGAGTAGGAATGAGACCTCACTGTCTGCAGGGCGGGGTGCCTGGGGCTGTGGGAAAGGCCTGGTCTCAGGAGTGGCCTTTGTGAACCGCCCCCCTTCCACTGATCAAAGGCCACTCAGGATGACATCCCACTGGGTAACTGCTGGCCACATAGCGGATGAGCTTGGTGAACAGAACAGGCAAGCACAAAAATGTAGGCTGTAAAGTCACCTGAGGGCACCTGAGCTACTCACAGGCCCACCGGCAGGGGATGGTGAAGCAACCTGCGTCCAGACTGTGGGCTCTGTGCATATGGACAGGAAAGGGCTCAAGGACACACTCACTCAAAACTGTGGTGGCTACACCTGTAATCCCAGCACTGTGGGAGGAGGCCAAGGTGGGAGAATCGCTTGCGCCCAGGAGTTTGACATCAGCATGAGCAACATAGGGAGACCCCATTCCTACCAAAAATAAAAAATTAGCTGGGCATAGTGGTGCCCGCCTGTGGTCCCAGCTACTGAGGAGGCTGAGGCAGGCGGATCGCTTGAGCTCTGGAGAGGGAGGCTGCAGTGAGCCATGACTGCAACACTGTACGCCAGCCTGGCCAACAGGGTGAGACCCTGACTCAAACAAACAAACAAATCTGCAATGCACAGAACCATCAATACTGCAATCCATTTACACAGAAAGAGCCAAAACCAGGAAAATGCAACCATGCAAATGTGAGTGCTAAGGGGTGTGTGCTCTACCCACACTCTGGAACTGGCACAGAATGTATCTAAGTATCACTTAAGTAATTGAGAAAAGAAAGAAAATCCCAGGAACACATCTCAACACGACTTCCACGTAGCAGTGACCTGAGTGGTAAGGAGAGGTCCTCACGACCCCACGTAGCAGACCAGCCCCTCCCTCTGACCTCCTTAGATTCCACCCCGGAGAGGAGCCAGGAGGAGAAACGGGAGCGTGTGGAGGAAGCACCTGCAGAGCGGGCTTGGCACAAACCCGAACCATCGGCACCCGTTTTGCCACAGGCAGCAGCGAGTTGTTGTTTTTGTGGACCCCGTTTTCCTTTTCCTATTACTTCTATTGGTTTCATCCAGAATCTGATGCCAGGATCCAGGCGCAGGAGACAGTGCTGCATGTGCCTGGAGGGCCCCTGACGGCCAGAAGGATGAGGAACACAGGGTGGCTGATGCCAACCCTCTCCTGAGTCTGGGTGTGGCAGGCACCCCGAGGCTCATGTACCCAGCAGGATGCTGTCTGCAGTGACCACATTCCCCTCTCCCTGACCTCCACCCTAAACTCCACATCCTCAAACCCAAGGGCCCTCTGGGCTCCCTACTCCTATGTCCAGAACTGCACAACTGACCTCTCCAGTGGTCTCAGTCATCAGCCCTGGGACCTAGGGGGGGTTCAGTGCTTCATTTACCCACTTCCTGGTGCCCCCATGTCAAGGCCAGCACCTCTCCTCAAAGTCTGCACCACCTGCTCCACACCAGCCTCTTCTCCTCCCTGGTCATTTCCTCTCACACGGCCCTGTCTGGTATCTCCAGAGCTCATTCCTACCTTTAATCTACTTCTGTGTCTACCTGCGTGTTGCCAGGGCCAGGACGCAGGTGTACAGCTCCTGGAGAGCAGCCACAGTCCAGCCAGGGCAGGGTGAAGTCTAAGTGGGTGCCCTCGATGTGCCACATCTGCCCTCGATACACAGGTGCCATATGAGCAGCCTTGTCTCTTTCCCTCTATACTCGCTGTTTCTATAACACTCTAGAAGTGTCTACCACATGGTAGGAGCTCAGTAAATGTTTCTTAAATAAAGGAATAACAATTGAAATTGGGCAACCCTCCCGGGTGCCCCCACCACGTGGAAACTTTACGTTCAATTTCGCTTTAATAAATCTTGACACCAAAAAAAAACAAAACAAAAAAACCAATTAAAATTGTGCTCAAAGATTAACAGTTAAACATTAAAATGAGGATAAAATGTCAAAACATAGGCTTTAAGACAGTGTAGAAAACTGTGTAACATTTTTAGGAAAGCTCCTTTTTTCTTCTGAGATTGGACTCACTCTGCTGCCAGGCTAAAGTGCAGTGGTGTGATCTCAGCTTGCCGCACCCCTCGCTGCTTCCAGGCTCAAGCAGTGTTCTGCTCTGCCTCCCAGCTGGCTGTGATGACTGGCATTGCCACACGCCCAGCTGATTCCTTTTCTATTTTTTGTAGAGATGGAGTTTCCCTGTGTTGCCCAGGCTGACCTCAAAACTCCTGGATTCAAGAGATTCTCCTGCCTCAGCCTCCCAAGTGCTGGGATTATAGGTGTGAAGCCATCACGCCCGGCCAGGGCAGCTCTTTTCAACACATAACCGTTCAGTATCTGAAAGAGCATCAGCTTCAGGTTGAATTTCCAGCTCCAGGTGTAACCAGTCTTGGTAAGTTAACTGAGAGAAAGGGAGCAATTCAATACAATGGAGGACAGAAACAGAATCCACCCGCAGGTTTATAAAACAGTTTGTCATTTCATCTCATACGCAGCCCCTCCGTGTCCCTGGTGTATAAGAAATTGCAGCTGAGAGTTCTACAGGAAAGAAACTTTAGTTTTGTCAAGAATTGTTTCTTACAAGATTTCCCTAGCACAAAGATGTTAGCACTGTAATCCTTTATTTCCAAAGTATAAAACGGCTATTTTAGTCTGGGCAACATAGTAAGACCCCATCTCATTAAAAATTGCCTGGGTGCGGTGCTCATGCCTGTAATCCCCAGCACTTTGGGAGGCTGAGGCCAGCAGATTGCTGAAGCCTAGGCAACATGGCAAGACCCCGTCTCTACAAAAGATTTAAAAATCAGCCAGGCATGGTGGCAATGTGTGTGGTCCCAGCCTCTTGGGAGGCTGAGGCGGTAGGATCGCTTGAGCCCAGGAGGTCAAGGCTGCAGCTAAGGCAACAGAGTGAGATCTATAAAAAGGAAAAAAAAGAAAAAGAAAACAACAACATTTACAGCTACTTCACAGTAGCATACCTCATTTATTTTCTGGAAACAGGGTCGCTGCCCAGGGCTGGAGTGTGTACAGTGATACCAATCGTAGCTCGGGCTGGCTCTGCCTCCTGGACTCCAGCATCCCTCCCTCAGCCTCTCAGAGGCTGGGACTGCAGGTGCACATCACCATGACCAAGTAAGTTTTTTAAAAAACACTTTTAGTAGGCCAGCACGGTGGTTCATACCTGTAATCCCAGCACTCTTGGAGGCTGAGGCAGGCGGATCATGAGGTCAGGAGATCGAGACCAATCCTGGCTAACACGGTGAAACCGCCGTCTCCACTAAAAATACTAAAAATTAGTGGCGTCGTGGCGGGGCACCTGGTAGACCCAGCTACTTGAGAGGCTGAGGCAGGAGAATGGCGTGAACTCGGAAGGCGGAGCTTGCAGTGAGGCTGAGATCCGGCCACAGCACTCCAGCCCCTTGGCCCGACAGAAGTGAGACTCCGTCTCAAACAAAAAAAAAACAAAATAAAATAATTTTAGTAGAGACAAAGGTCTCACTACTGTTTGACCAGGTTGGTTTCGAACTGAGCTCAGGTGATCCTTCGCCTCAGTTTACCAAATGCTGGGATTGTAGGCATGAGCCAGGCACTCCGACTTGTGTTTCCTGTTTTTGTAAATCTTAAAACAGTTCCATGGGCCGGGCGCGGTGCTCAAAGCCTGTAATCCCAGCACTTTGGAGGGCCGAGACACGCGGATCACAAGGTCAGGAGATCGAGACATCCTGGCTAATACGTGAAACCCCGTCTCTACTAAAAAATACAAAAAACAGCTGGGCGAGGTGGCGGCGCCTGTAGCTCCAGCTACTCGGAGAGCTGAGGCAGGAGTGAATGGCGTGAACCCGGGAGGCGGAGGCTTGGAGTGACGCTCCGCGACGATTGTTTCCACTGGCACTCCACAGCCTGGGCACCCTAGAGCCAAGGACCTCGTCTCAAAAAAAACAACAAAAAAAACAGTTCCATGAATCAACAGGGACTAATTTCAATATGTTGATTTGTGGACTAATCTCCAAACCTCACATTGCAGGAAAAGCAGCAACACTCCTGCCGCGCACTCCTATCTGGGTAAAAGCCGAAGCTACCGAGCTCCGCACAGGGACACCCACAGATGCGGCACAGCCAAGGGAGCAATGCAGGAAGATTCCCTCCGAGCTGCTGGTGGGCACAGAGCTATTCACTGCCTCCTTTTCTTTTTCTACTGCGCCTGGTCATCATTCCTCACATCAAAACACAGCATCATACTTACTTTTGTGTAGCTAACATAGTTAACAATAAAAAAAGCAGAAAAAGTAGTACAATAACCTTGAGGTTTTTGTACTACTAACCTAGAGACGCCACTCAGCGTCTCTAGGCTCACTCCTGTGCGCCTGGTGGGCGCCTGTAGTCCCAACTACTGGAGAGGCTGAGGTACGAGAATCGCTTGAACGTGCAGAGGCTGCAGTGAGCCAAGACTGCACCACTGAACACAGCCAGACGTTGTCTCAAAGAACATATCACTAAAAATAAAAAAAAGAAGTTTGTGTTGGGAGAAACTCAGAAAGTATAGCAGGGTTTCTCTGTATTTATTAATTTATTTTTTTGAGTCAGGGTCTCGCTGTGTCATCCAGGCGGGACTAGAGTAGCGTGATCTTGGCTCACTGCAACCTCCACCTCCCAGGCTCAAGCGATTCTCCTGCCTCAGCCTCCCAAGCAGCTAGAACTACAGGTGCACATCACTGCGCCCAGCTAATTTTTGCCTTTTTTGTAGAGATGGGGTTTCACCATGCTGCCTGGGCTGGTCTCAAACTCCTGAGTTCAGGTGATCCACCTGCCTTGGCCTCCCACAGTGCTGGGATCACAGGTGTGAGCACTGTGCCCAGTCTCTGTGGCACATGAGGCCACAATGATGTCAGTCAAGATTCCAATCAAACCACCTAAGTGCTGCTGTTCTTGCCTCTGAGGAGACAGTCTGCACACACAGGATGTGGCACGATGCAGGGGAAGGAACAGTGACCTACATGAACATCTTCCTCTTTCAACAGTTCTCGGAAGGTTCTGTGTGTCCAGAGAGAGAGGGCAGCTCTCTGCCAGTCTGCGGAAGGAAGGTACAAGGGTCTCCAGGAAAGGCTGGCTGCGTCCTCTTGAGAAAGAGGCTGTCGGGCCTCTGAGAACAATCTGAACACAAGGAACTGAAACTGAAACAGACAGTATCATGCAAGTTTCACTGGGAGCGGTTGAGCCAATGCTCAGGTGGAAACAGACCATCAACAGTCAAGCCACACACACAGCCCCACGTTCAGGAGACCTCAGTCCAGCCCCTGGGAGAGGGCAACACACAACCCCACGTTCAGGGGGCCTCAGTCCAGGCCCTGGGAGCGTGTAGAGCCCCTCAGTGGTCATGGCTGTGCACAGCGCTCCAGGGAAGAGACGTTCCTGCCATCTGACTGTTTCCTTGAGCTAAATGTCTGGAAGCAGAATTGCAGGAACAAAACTGCCTCCCAGGGGTAGGGCTGGTTTGGTCCTGGGTCGTGAAACCGCCCATCTCTAGGCCTTTGCCAGGAATGGCGTTGCCACCAAAAGCGCACACCACTGGACAAGCGAGACACACTATCGGTGCTGCGTGACCGTGTCCATCTCTGCCTCTAAGGAGACGAGAACCTCCCATGTTTACAACCGGACTGCCCCAAGGACGTGACCGTGTCCATCTCTGCCCCTGAGGAGACGAGAGCCTCCTATGTTTATAACCGGACTGCCGTCCCTGCCCAGTGCACTGGGTGGGGACCATGTTGCCCTCTCCTAAGCTCCAACACCATGTTTTCTTTAAAAACTTGGCACCAGAGGCAAAGTTCCTCAGAGGAAATAACTGGAAATATGTGCACCCTGGATCCTCAGGGGCTGCTCCCAGATTCTGACTTAATTTATCTGGAAAGGGGCCAGGAATCTGTAGTTTCAAAAGCTTCTCAGGTGATTCCGATGTGAAGCCTGCAGTTGAAAACCACTATTTATTTATTTATTTATTTGAGGCCAAGTGGCGCAGAAGTCACTTGGAGGGTCATGGAGTGTTGAAACCAGTCTGCAACATGTGTGAAACTGTCATGACTAAAAATTATACAAAACATTAGCGCCGGCGTAGTTGCAGGTGGCTGTAATTCACCCACTTGGGAAGCTGAGGCAGGAGAACTGCCTTGAACTGGAGAGTGGAGGCTGCAGTGCAGCCGAGCGATGCACCACTGCACTCCCAGCCTGGTGCCTACCAGAGCAAACTCCATCTTT